AACAATGTTCAAAATTGTGCATATGTGCGAAACCGCGAACCAATGAACGAAGACATTAAGGATAAAAAAGGAAACAAAATTTGCCTGACAAATTCTGTCTAGTCATAGTTATTTTTTATAACAACGTATACCAAACTTATGACAATAGTTTAAAATAAAAAAATTTTTGTCTTTCTCTAAGGCTACAGATTACGCGTACGTACAATGAGAAACACAACTGCAGACTAAACCGCAAATTAGTAAGTAGGTTGCCGTTTGTCACTGAAACACTTTGCATCAATAAAGTAATGAAAAAGTTTCTTAAATTGATCAATAATAATAATATATATAATAATATATATAATAATAGTAGTATATAATAATATATAATAACATATAATAATATATATTATATAATATAATTTAAATAATAATAACAATATACATATAATTTTTTTTGGTTCTAATGATTTTTTGAATGCTCCTGATCTAAAATAAAACAGAAACGGAAATTTCTTTTGAACAAGAGGGATTGGATTCCATGCGCTTGCCTTCGGCAAGTAAGTGAAGGCAATGAAGTTTATTCATTGCGCAAGATAATTGGGACCGTTCTAACCCAACAATTGAAAACTCACGCAGCCGAGTAGTGCGTTTCTTTGATCTCCATATTCGAATGCTTTAATCCATTTGACCAACTATTAAGATGGTCTCAGTCGTACAGCGTTTGAAACCTCAAACATTAAATTAGTGCTAATACGTACTATTAAGAGATAAAAATACATATTTGCTTTATAATATAACAGGTTGGAGGGAAAGTTCTGTCGTATTTTAAATGAACAAACATCTTGTAAATAAACAAACATCTGACTAGTGAGTCATTCGGATTTTTTTTTGTGTTTTTTTAGCTTCTGTATAATGTACAAGGACTGTTTTTTAGCATTCATCATTTATTGTGATATTTAAAGTAAAAAACATGTCACTAGATAAAGTGCACTTACGACGCTGCACTTTGTATGAATTCCAAAAAGAAAGCAGCGCATCGGTTGCATGTAAAAATTTATGTGCGGTATGTGGAAAAGATATTGTAAATGTTCGTGCTTGTCAAAGATGGTTTAGCAAATTTCGTTCCGGGGATCTGAGCTTCCAAGAAAGTGATCGATCTGGACGACTATCCAAGATCGATAACGATGATTTGCGATCCATGTTGGAAAATAATCCACATTTAACAAGTCGAGAAATTGCAGAAGAGTTAGGCATTCATCATACAACTGTTGGAGATCACATTAAATCTCTTGGCTTTATGTTAAAGGAAAGTGTTTGGGTTCCATATGAGTTGTCTGATCGTGTAAGAATATGTTCACCACATCAAAACTGAATGTGTTATGGTGGGAAGTCCTTAGTCACCCACCGTATTCACCTGACATTGCACCATTTGATTATTACCTGTTAAGATCTCTGCAAAATTGTCTAACGGGAAAAAATTCAAGTCTTTTAAAAGTGTTTCTAAGGCAGTTGCTGACTATTTTAGCTGCAAGAACGAGAATTTCTGCAAAATAGGATTTCACAGGTTAGCTGAAAGATGGCAAAAGGTTGTAAAAAATAACGGAGCATTTATAATTGATTAATATTAAACACTTTTTTTTATAAATGAATTCAAATATTTTCTTTAAAATACGACAGAACTTTCCCGCCAACCTATTATTTCAAATACCCACCACCTATGTACTAACTATTTTTTGCATATATTGAAGTTGTTATTTGCTTTGAAGAACAATATAATAAATGTGTATATATATCATTTAGACCCATGGAGCACAGAGTATATAATAAATAAATACCATGTGTTATTATATTCACCACTGTGAGATGGGAGTATACTCATTTTGCTTTTTCCCTTAAGGTATATAACACCCAAAAGGAAGCTTCAGAGACCCTATAAAGTATATATACTCTTGATCAGCGTGAAATTCTGAGTTTAGCCACGTCTGTCCGGCTGTGTGGTGAGTGTTGTTGGCATTTTCCTGGCAAAAATGAAGATACCAACTGCAAATTTAGTAGAAACATTGGAAGTTTCTGCACGCAGGTTTATATTGAAAATGGGCTAAATCGGTCGTAGCGGAAGCGCGTAGTAGGGCGTAAACTGAACGCAACTACGTTTTTAATAAAAAAATTTTTGGATTTTTGCTCGTTACTCGATAATATTAATAGTTAGAAGGCTTAAATTTTCCACACTTATTTTACGAAGCGTTCTACTTTTCCGCAATATCCACACAAAGTTACAAGTGGTTAAATTTTTTTTTCGAGTTTTTATGCCTATTTATCACAAGGCAAACAAGATCGAATGTTTTGAACTACTTTATACACTCCTTAAATGAAGATATATTATCTGCCTAAAGATGGGTTAATACTAAAATGAGTGTGGTAAACACCACATTAATTTTTTCTTAATTGTACTAGCAATGTGGGTATCAAATGAAGGAACTTAAAGAGTAGAATGCGAAAGACATAGTGGTGGGTATGCCAGATCCGGCTCCGCGAACATAATTGTCTTACACGTTAAAATTTGTAATGTTAGCTAGCCGTTGAAGCTTGTATATTCTAAAAAACACTTGTTCTTTTTCTAATTTAATTTATTTAAATAAAGTTTTATTCAAATGTCGAAAAATATTGTTTTTTTTTTTTTTTCTTTTTTTTTTTTTTTTTTTGATTGAGTACTACCAAAAATAGACTTAAGCTTTCTCTGTAATTTACGTAATTATTCGCTAAAAAATTTAAATATTTTATTTGGAATAAACATCGTAAAATAAGGAATCTTATTAAAAGGGCCTAAAACCTCTCTTAATTGGATACTTAAGCAGTCCTTTATATTCCTATTTTAGAAGTCCTTTATATAGAATATTTGCAAAAAGTTTTAGATTTTCATTATCAAAAAAAGTTAGTGTGACTTCATTACAGGCATGGTTAAATCGGCTCGAAATACATTAAATCTTTCCCACACTTCATATTTTCCCAAACAATGTCCTTCTCAAAAATATTGTGGTTTAAGTGAGGAATAGATTAACTTCAAGATAACCAGTGCCGACAGATGAGGCTATTTTTTTTTTTTTTAATCTTCAAAACATTCAGAACGAGGCTTGTGCTGTTTTTATTTTGACATGACACATACTGTAGACACCTAGCTGTAGATCTGGTTTAAGTTTGATCCTCTATGAATTATAATTTAGGAATGCATGCCGAATCCCAACAAAAAGTATCCTCACAAACTAGGAACTTGATGTAAACTGTACTAAATATGATAACGAAATATGATTTGAGCATTCCTTATTCCGCTCTAAAATACATTTGCTTTGTTATTTGTTTTTCAGACAAAATTGACCATCAAAAGAATAAAGCTTGTACAGTTTCAAAGTATCAAAGGGTGTTCCAACCAACTTTCTGCAAATTTGAAAGGCATTTTTGTCTATGTTGTATAAATATCGTGATTTAAACAGACAGATTATTGTCATATATGGAAATAGTTAATGTATTCTTTACCATGTACGTGAAAACTTTACTTAAAGGATTAAACGAGTTGTAAACATACGGTGCATTTGTGAGGCTTTTCACCAGTGTGGCGGCGCATGTGAACTACTAGCATATACTGGGCTTTGAACGGCTTTTCGCCACGTGAACAATTTTCCCATCGACAGATGAATGTTTTTTTGTTGCATTGTATGTGATCGTTGTTGATGTGTTTGACTAACTCATCTTGCGTCTGAAATTCTACATCGCATTCTTGCCAATGACAATTGGTTTCAATGAAATCTCCAGGTTCGTCCTTTATGTCGGTTGTATCTACTGTGGAGCATTCATAATCATTATATGTTGTTGGAGTACTAATCGCACAATGTTGAACATTTGCAGTTGTCAAATGAGTTTTCGTTGATGCAATTCTAGCGTTGCGGTATCGTTTGTTGGCCGCTACCATAGCAGAAGCACTGTCCGCTTCCACAGATGTTATATCATTAGAAGTGGATGAGGGCTGTTCCGATTTTCTTTCTGCACACATGTCGTCATAGGCCTGCCAAAATCATAATTTTATTATTATTCGTCACCAAAAATAAAGTACAACTTACCATTTGCTTTGTTGAACTTGAAATGTTTGCTGTCATATTGCTATTACTAGTAATGCGATTCGAATTATTAATATTACAATCAGAATCAGAGTTTGGTTGGCAATTGATTGTTTGAATATTACAGTTAGATATTGTTCCGTGTGGTCCCCCACCGGCACTAACAGCTGCTGCAGTTACCGCTGCTGTCGAGGCAGCTGCTGCTACTGCTGTTTGCAATGAATGAACATGGCCCAATGATAGCATGTTAGCGGCGGCCGTTTGATGTGTAGAGAGAGGGTGGAAAAGACCAGCACTTGCTCGCAATAAATGGGCCTGCAACTGCTGCAAGTGAGGCGCCATCGAATCGTGAATGGGACTTATTGTTCCTGCCGATAAATGGCCGTAAGATCCACTAGCTGCACTGCTGGCTCGCGAACCATTCATTATATTAGCTAATGAATTTGGCGAGAAACGAATCATGGAATTTATGTCAAACGAGTCGGAGTACGGTGACGATGAGAGTGCCCTCTTTCGACTAATGCTTGTACGCATAGTACCTTGGCGTGAACTATTTAAACGTGCATTATCAATACTAAAATGAAACTCCGTACTAGCTAGCGAGCTAGCTGCAACAGCCGCCGTAGTTGCAGCCGGATGTAATTCACCCAGCGACCCAACGCCACGAGCTGCTAGGTAATCGCCTGAATTAAGTCCCAGTCCGGTTAGATGAATAGCAGGCCCACAATTTGCATAAGGATCTGCAAATATTGCCGTGAAATTTTCTTTGCGATTATCTATAAAAGATATGTATTAGTTGAACTTACCATGAAAGGAAGAACTTGGACTTAAACGCTGAAGTGAATAAATATGCTCAATATAGCCAGCTGGAATCCGATAAGCTGGATGAAAATCATGTGCTTGAGCAGAGGATGGCTGTGGTGGTCCGCCCGCCACCTGAAGACCTGTGTGCGCCACATGATGATGGAAAGGTACCGCATGATGATGAGGGCCGGGAGCCACAAAGGAGGTGTCTTGAGCACTGAGTGAGTTACGATTAATCGCACTTATTCCTACCGGCCCGTTAGTACCGACCAGCGGCATATTTGCATTGCTTGCAGCCGAAATACTCTCGGCAATATTTCCATTTGCTTCTCCTCTCAATGGCGGTGGTAATGAGGTTGTAGCCGCTGCAGCTGCTCGTCGCGATGCTAGGAATTGTAAATCGGAGTATCTATCAAATACAAAAAGAAATTCAAATTAAGGTACAACGACCCACATATCTTTAAGGATTGTAGACTTGGTTCCAACAAATTATTTATAATTATTACTTTGCTTTATACGTTTAGGCAACTACTTACTGTATAAGTACCCAAGAGATAATACTGAGAATCTAAATATTTTAAGGTTTCTTTTTCCCTGCTCAACTTCACCTTTAAAAATGAAACTCAAATCCATAGAAAAAACTGAATCTCTTCTTATTCATCCATGAACCCATATCTACATATAAACTTATGATATGTATACATATTGTTTTTTCGATATATATATATATATATATATATATATATATATATGTATATATACATAAGTTGCCGTAATAAAAGACTGTCAAATAAAAAATATACAGTAACAAAAACTATAAGCACATCGCGTCTTAAGCAACAGAGTTTAAATGACTTAATTAAATCATGTGGCGATGGAAAGCCTATTAAGAGCGTCTTTTACTGGCACGGCCAACAAGCGAAATCTAGCCTGAAACGATGAAACACAATGCATTAATTAAAGTTTGCCGCTTAATTCCTTGAAATGTCTTTCTTAGTTAACGGAAATGTATGTAAATATATGGGACGGAAAATTTATATATATACAGCTCGGGCCGAATATTTTAGCACTCATCTTCAACGTGTGTTGGCGCCAGAAAAATTTGTCAAAAAGTTTTTATAGTTTTATATACGGTATATCACATATATAAATATATAAATATATAAATATAAATATATAAATAAATATATAATAAATATATATATATATATATATATATATGAGATTGCAAACGAAGATTAGTTAACATTTTACAGTACAGTATATTATTATACCCATCACTATAAGATGGAGGTATACTGATTTTGTTTTTTTTTCATAATGTATGTAACACCCAAAAGGAAGTCTCAAAGACCTTTTAAAGTATATATATTCCTGTTCAGCGTGAATTTATTTAGCTATGTCTGTCGGTCTGTATAACTGTGTGGAGTTTGTTGCTGACACTGTCCTGGTCGCAAAAATGAAGATGTGTTATTCATACTTGGTGAAAATATTGGAAGTTTTCGCACGCAGGCTGTTATTGAAAATGAGGCAAATTGGCCAGAGCAGAAGCGCGCACTCGAGAGAAAACTGAACGCAACTCCGTTTTCCTTAGGAAACACCTATGGATTTTTACCCATTACTCTGAAATTCAAGTTGGAAGGCTCATATTTTCCATAACTACGTTACCAAGTAGTCTACCTTTTACGTGCAAAAACGAAAAATAATGGACCATGCCCAAATAATGTTGCAAGTGTTTAAATTATCTTTTTTTCGGTTTTTTTAGGTTTTAGGCTTGTTTATCATAACGCAAACAAGACAGAATGTTTAAAACTATTTTATACATTCCTCAAATGAAGATAGATTATCCGCCTAAAAATTGGTTAATAAGAAAATGAATATGGTGGACACCGCGATCATTTTTTTCTTAATAATACTAGCGATAAGAGTACTAAATGAAAGAACTTCGAGAGTAGAATACGGAAAGTGTAGTGGTGAGTATGTGACATTCGGCTCTGCCGAATAGAACTTTCTTACTTGTTTTTATATTGTTTTGTATCTTATATCTGATTGTACAGCCTGGCACAAAATGTAAATAGTCGACGTTACAAGTTTAAGTAAACGAGAGAACACTATAATAAATAGAAATGAAAATATCGGTTTGTAGCTAATTCAGAATTTTTTAAATGGTTACTTAAGCCAATCATCGTAATAAGTAGAAAGTTGAAATCAAATTTTTTCTTTAAAATTTCCAGTGTATACTCCTATGAGTTACAAACGCTTGATAATCCAGTGTATCCCTCTCCGGTTGTATATAATGTGATTGTTTTCTTTTTTCTTTTTTTATTGCTTCGAGTATACGTGATGGTGATGATGATTTAAAAAGCTAAAACCATTTTTGAACTAAGTTTTTATTAACGCAGTATGGCATAGTAAGTGTCAGATTACAGTACCGCGCTGCTATGGTATAACATACTTGCTTTGCAATTTAATGTATGCGTATTTATTTATTTATGCTCCTGCACCAAATTGTCAGTCATATGTATTTGTATTTACAAATAAAAACTTGAAAATGTATTTGTTTCTAATGCATATATATTGTTTTGGAGAATGTAATCATATCGAATTTGGAGTTTCCTTTGCAATATCAGATAATGTGCAGGTTTCTGAACCCTCCGGAGAAAATTTTGCGCTGATTTAACTATGGTTTTAATTTGCCGCAGAGTACTTAATTTTTAATATCAACCGCAGGCTAGATCTCCTAAATGATTGTAACGCTTTGAAATGTTTATAGGGTGTCGTACGAGTTGAAATTTTTAGATATAGCAATGCTTAATCATATGTTGCAAAACTGGTAGACATTGCTTCATCTGACATCTGCGCTTTTTAAGCTAATGGTGGTACCAAAATGGCGCTTTGGCTTGAAAAAACTAGTTACTAGCGGTAAACAATATCTAAAAGGACCAACTTTCTACTTCTAAAGCCCTATTTTTAGCAAACAAAAAATTTATCCTTAATGCAAAGTGGCAATAAACAAAGCAGAGTATATACGCCTAGTATGGTTTTTAGCTTCCATGCGGAATTATCTATGCGGTACTACAAATTTATGTAACAATAACCTATACAAATTGTAGTTTACGATGTATAATATACACTGAGCAAATTATTCTGTGCTGGATTTTCTAATCAAATGTATATAAATATCTAGTAACATAAAAAAGTTCCCCGAAACAACATTGAACCCTTTCCTAGCTTTCGCCAGAAAAATCTTATCGTATATTTGGGTAAATATGTTTTCATATCTACATAAGAAAAGTATCTTTGTGTCGAAGTGTTTCATCTTGAGCGCAAATATTCTTTGACGAAAGTCTCCGGAATTTATTTATATGTGCAAATTTGATACTTATTTCATTGAGTAAAGAAAGGATATTTAGATAAATAAGAAAACCATATTCAGCTGCGTTCGCATGTTTTAGGCTTACTATCTTTATCTTTAAAAAAATATATAAAAAAATATAGCGTAACCGATTTTTACCAAATTGGTGCAATTACTATAGGATAATCAATAAAGTATATACGGAAATTCTTATGATTGTAGCTGCTGTAGTTTATGAGTAATGAGTAAAAAATCTAATTGTGTTTTGTTTTTCACAACTTGATATTCCCAGTTGATCTGCTTATTCGATTTGGTCTATTTTTTATGTTAACCTGCCTTTAGAAGCTTCCTATCTTTTTTCCAAAAATTAAGCCGATGTCTAAACTTTTGCGACCACGAGATACATAAATATTTTATGAGATCGTTGATCCGGATGAGGTAAGCCTTCTAAAAGAAGTATTATTTGCAAAAATTTTTACAAGCCACTTCTACAAGTGAAAATTATAAACAAAGGGCAAATATCAGGGTACATAACAATTAAAGTCGATGACTTTTCCCTTTCTCTACATAAAATAAGAGTTTTTCATTTAATATTATTGATTTAGTCAGCGCACGACAACGATAATCATAGAGCACTTAAAATTCTTCTGCTTCCAAATTCATTGCTATTATTGGTTATTTGAAAATATCTGCTGCCGAAGCTCACCAAACACATTCATAGACTTATGGTTATGCCCCTCCATCATATCCTAATTGTTGGTTTTGAGTTCAAGGGAGGTACGATACACTGTTGCCGTTCCCACACCCACCGTACTAACCAGACATGGCACCTCGTGCTTACCGCTTGTTCAAATCGATGCAGCACGGCTTGGCTACCACGCGGGTCCGCAAAGTTAAAATGCGAATGGATGGATGGATCGCGACCAAATTAATATCGTTCTTTTGACATGGCATCGAAATGTTGTCAGAAAGTTGAGAAAAATTTTAGGAAATGATCGACAATATTTTGATTAATGTACATTGTACCGATTTTTCTCAATAAATGCTTTTTTCCAATATTATAATCGTACAAGGCAATACAGACTATTAGCCAAAAATGGTACCAGAATTGTTTGATGAAGAACCATATGGGACGGCATAACAGAGTACTTAATGGCTGAAACTAGCTTTAATTCAGTTCCTTCAATGCATTCTTACATAAGGAACCAGCAAACAGAAAAGTTCTCATCGACAAGTTGGAAACTAAGTGCGATATTAATTTATTTTATGTTATGTGTGCCTTGCTCCTTTTTGTATTCATGGCTTTTGTGTAATCGTAATTAATTGTTTTTTTGTTTATGCCCGAAGTACGACGAATTCAGTAATCTTGCAGATTAGTCTTTTTTAACAATTCCCTTGATACGGATGTTAAATTTTGGAGTTTGTGGGGTAATATGAGGAAGGCGAGTATGATAATTTTCCATTAATGATATTTTCCGTTAAATGTTGCAGACTTGAATAGTACAATTCTTAAATATCATCAAATAAAAAAAAAAGAACAAAAACCATTTAAAAAAAAATAAATAAATAAGAAAATTAAGTACGGTCGGGACCTAATCTTTTATACCAATCACCATTTACTCCCAAAAAAGGCATAAGATGTAAAAGAACAAAATTCTCATGCTCTATAATATGGAGTGGGCGCAGTTGATTTCTTCTACTCTCAAAAAAAAAGTTTTTGTTGTAGAGGCATGTGAGCGTTATGGGCATGTGCTTTGAAAAGCTTGCGTGGATTCTAAATTCCTTTGCAAATTTGTAGGCGACATTCTCATTTTCGCTAACGGGAGAATGTGTACTACAAATACTACAAAGTTACGCAAACAGGCAGATGGACAGGCGAACAGGTGTATTCAAGAGTTGTAACTGGCCAAGAATTTTATGGGATTTTTGAAGCTTCCTTCTGAGCGTTGCAAACGTTTTAACATAGGCTTCGGTAATGAGTATAATAAAAATTGATTTAGGTAGCTAAGCACGTGAAATTTTGAGTGTGCAAAAAACAAATTACGTAAACTTAT